TGGATCCTTCCTCCATACATATTTCCCGACTTTCCACTTCCTGACAGTTCTGTGGCTGCCGGAATACTTCCTAACATCCTCGTGATTCATCTGTTTCATTAACTTTCATCTGTGCCCCTGAGTACCTGCTTCCTGCCTCTCAAACAGCCTGTCTCTCTCTGTCCTGCGTCTGGACAGATACTGCAACACAGGAGACATCGCTGCGGCTGAGCTGTGACGTAACAGGGTACGGTCTCCTCTGGAACAGTGAAGCAGTCATCGTGGGAGTCACTGCAGGTTTCTCTCAACCTGGGGCATGACATGTTGGTGCCCTCGAGTGAGGCATCATCAAAACTCGGCAACTGGGCAGGACTTCTGGCAAGCGACTCAGGAGGACACTTCTCGACTGGTACTGCCGGCGAGCGTGGAGCGAGTCGTGGCAGAGACGACTGGGCGAAACATCTGGGAGTCGTAACATCATACACCAGACTGCAGTGAGCGAGCTAGCGGTCAAAGTGACATCTTCTTTGTGCCGGCTGCTCACTGAAGCTTGTGACACAAGGCTGACACAGTGCCTGCCGACAGGGCTAACTGCGGCTTGACGAGTGTCATTCTCTCGGCAGTTGGAGTTATAGCAGATATTAGTCTAAGTGTCCCAAGACTTGTTTCTCTACATATAACTGCACTCTGAAGGTCTGGAGGTGAAGCGAAACAAATCTCGATGGGAATCGTAGCAGGTACGATTCTGCAAAACATCTATGAGCGACGAGCATAAGAGCTTTCTGTACAAAGGGGCTCGGGCTCAGAGCTGACTGATATCAGCTGTCAAACGCGCTGGTCACACTGGGTGACTTAACACAGTGGTGCTACTCAGGGGTCTGGCTCAAGACCACTGGACACATGGAAAACTTTACACACACCCGCGGTACGTGCGGTACAACATGGCTTAAACTAGCAAATGATGCTTTTCTGTGCACAAAACTGACACTAAGCTATACACTAACATGTGAGAACACTGACTGAGAGGAATTAATTAACACACAACATATATCTTCTCTCAGTCTTCTCGACAATACTGAAATAATTACTAGAAACACTCGATGTGACATCATGTGATGTCAGGCATGACATCGCGAGGTGACATCAGCAGCCATCTCGAGGTGACGTCAGGCAGACATCGTGATGTCATGAAGTCGGGCAGCATCGTCGGTGATGTCAATGTGATGCGGGCAGCAGACCACAGCATGTGGCCTGCGACATCTGGCTTGGTAACCCATGTGGCTTGTAGATCCACATGACATAGCCCACACCCGACGTGGCATCGTGATCTACGTGGCATGCTGATCCACGTGGCTTGCTGATCCACGTGGCTTGCTGATCCACGTGGCTTGCTGATCCACGTGGCTTGCTGATCTACGTGGCATGCTGATCCACATGGCTTACTGATCCACGTGGCTTCGAGTGGCCTCGGGCACTTGGATACACAGCACTGGCAAAGAATTCACACGAAAAACAGCAGAAAACACAGCAGAGGGAGTGGGCAGTGGTGAGTATATGGTAGATGGGTGAGCGTGAGAAGGGTGAGCATGGACGAGGCGAGGAAACGGCCACTTCCTCCTCCCCCCCCCACAAACACAGGGAGACACAATGGATGCAGAAATCACCACAAAACTCACCTCTGGCTTGCTGAAATAGCTGTGCTAAGCTGAACAACAACAGCAGAGCATACAAGTGACGCTGAACACATGACTTGAGAAACAGTGTGGGACGCTGTAGTGTGGGGTCACTGGGACACCACTTACAATTCTCGAAGAAATTCGGCAAATTTCGGCTAGATCCTGCTTGCACCTGTGTCTGGATGCTCAAACGTGCAGACACGACATCAGGATAACTCGTTGAGAGACGGATGCTTCTTGTATAGGGTGATAAAGTGAAGATGACTTCATACCTCTTCCTTCCTCTCTCCAGGCAAACACAACTGCTGCGACCACCGCTGCCACCATTTATAACGAAATTGTATTTAGTGTTCTGGTAGCAGGGAGTAAATGATATGTCTTCGGAGGCTTCTTACTTTATTTGTAAAGTCGTGGTGGGTACACAGGTTTGTGTGTTGTGCCCATGGCCCGGGTAGGGCCATCCCACGAGGGAGAGAGCTGCTAATAGGCCTTCTGTCTTGCTGTGTGGCCGCTGAGTCAGTGAGAGCATGTGGGCCCAGCATCCCACTGACTATGGGCTGGCCCAGAGGGCAGCACCTTAGTGGCACGAAATATGAACTAAGCTGGCAGACAGCATAGGCTGTCTGTGCAGACAGTACAGGCTGTCTACAATGGATCCTTCCTCCACTACATCACTTTCCAGACTATTCCACTTCCTGACAACTCTGTGGCTGCCGGAATACTTCCTAACTTCCACGTGACTCATCTGCTTCTTTAACTTTCATCTGTGCCCCTGAGTACCTGCTTCCTGCCTCTCAAACAGCCTGTCTCTCCCTGTCCTATCAATTCCTCTGAGTATTTTGTGATCCCTTGTTGCTGTGTCCCATCTTTGGAAGATCCTGTCTGTGTCCACCCTGTCAATTACTCGCAGTATTTTATATGTCGTTATCATGTCTCCCCCATCCCTCCTGTCCTCCAGTGTCATCAGGCTGATTTCCCTTAACATCTCCTCATAGGACATGCCCCTTAGCTCTGGTACTAGTCTTGTTGCAAACCTTTGCACTTTCTTCAATTTCTTGACATCCTTGACCAGGTGTGGGTTCCAAACTGGTACTTCATACTCCAATATGGACCTGACGTACATGGTGTACAGAGTCTTGAATGATTCTTCACTGAGGTATCAGAATGCTATTCTTAGGTTTGCCAGGCATTTACAGTGCTAGTCACAGCATTATGCCAGGTGAGCGCCCCTGCACAGTGCCGTGATGAAAATCAAAGGCCTACCATACAGGGGGGTCTTGTTTTGTTAGTGCATTATGCTGGGTAGCAGCTGTTAGCATGACGTCATGGCCTGCCGCCACACTCCACAGTCACTCCTCAGTGCTCATGTGGCTGCCGTGGTGAGAGGAAGTGTTGCAAAGTACTTTTGTCTCTCATTCGCCCCATCTTTTGTCCGGTGTTCTCTCAGGTTTTGGGGCTATGCATGTTTGATTATGGGTAAAAGGAAGTATTTAACACCTGAAACTATAGCTTAAATCATAGGACTTCACAAAGCTGGGCACCAGATGAAAGAAATAGTGGAGAATGTTGGTGTGTGTGAGCATTCAGTGAGGAACTGAGCGCAGCATTTCACGGCTGGTGGCGGTGTTAAGTTGCCATCTACCAAACCTCAGCCTGGCCCCTCGAAGAAGACATCTGTTCACGCCTTCACTGTGTTAAAGAAGCACTTAGAGAGTACACCTAAGATAACTTTTAGAGAATTGAAAGAAAAGAACCCACATATTCTCTCAGAGATTAAGAAACCAATCCTCTCCAAGCCACAGGAGAAACATAGGCTGGATTATGCAGAGAAATATTTTCACTGGAATCCTCAACAGTGGTCTGAAGTACAATAAATGTACTTTGGAGTGATGAGGCAACCTGTAACCATGGGGGACATGTGTACCGGCCCAGGGGTAGTGACCCGCTAGACCCACGCTTCACCAGTGGGACCACCGAGCATTCAGACTGGCTCATGGTCTGGGGGTGTTTCAGTGCTCAGAGTGTTGGTGAACTCATTGTGCTTCCCAAAAACCAGACTGTGAACCAGTTTAATTACCTGGAGTTGCATGACAATTTACCTGAGGTGTTTGACAAGTGTGGGGCTACAGTTTTTATGCAGGACGGTGCACCGTGTCATACCGCCAAATTTGTAGTTCAGTGTCTTAAGGACTGTGAAGTGAGGTTCTTAATGACTGGCCAGGCAATTCCCCAGACCTAAACCCTATCGAGAACCTCTGGTCAGTAGTGAAGTGAAGTTTACTGAGCAAGGATATCAGTTCCATCCCACAGCTGGAGGCTGCTCTACATGAAGCATGGAATAATATACCTCCCCAAACCCTCAAGAATTTGTGTGAGAGTCTTCCTCCATGGCTGAGGGAAGTGATTAAGCATAAAGGATGCAACACCAAGTATTAAAACCTCAATAAGTGTGTAAATATATATAGTATTATAATCTTTCATGGAATGTGTTTGTGTTTTGGTATGTGTGTGGGGGAGGGGTGGCATATTTCCATGACCAGCACTGTATCTGGTTGATGTGTGCCTCAGGAGATGTACTCTATTTTATACTCACCCTAAGATCCTTTTCCTTGTATGAGGTTTGCAGTCTTTGGCCCCCCTAGCCTGTACTCTGTCGGCAGTCTTTCTTTGTTTTTTCCCCATATCTTCATGACTTTGTTATTTGGTGAGGTTAAATTCCAGGTACCAGTTGCTGGACAGGATGCAGCCTGTCCATGGTCCCTTTGTATAGTCCTATCTTGATCTCATTTGTTAAATTCTCCTCATTACTTCAATTATCGCAACAGATGTCATGTTCATTTCACATTTCCAGAAACAACACACAGGTCTTGGGACTGACCCCTGTGGAACCCCATTGTTGCAGGCACACTCTGCACCTCTATCATGTACATGACATGGTTGCCTCCTTGTCAGGTATTCCTGATCCATGCAGTTGTCTTTCCTGTGATATGTGTTGTGTGTGTGGACGGGGGGGGGTGTGTCGTGTGCATGTTCATTATATTTTGAAAGAGAATACCAAAATTTCAACTGTAATTGGTATTTATGGTAAATGCTTTTCCTTGTTGAACTAGAATATTTATCATTACATGCATATTGTCCATGCTGCATATTATGTACATAATGAGAATTGATTATTTTATACAAATGTATGCTAAGTGTGTTTTTACCTCTTTATTACTTATCAAATTACAGGTATATTGAGTGCCCAGATTTACTGAAGGTTCAGTCACCAAAACCAAGTACACCAACAGACTTCTCATACCTTCTTCCTTTTATTTCTTCGGAAGCATGGGCTCAGATATCTGCCAGAGTCGCCAACTTTGGAAATCAGCCAACACAGCTATCATTGGTAAGTTTTTAAATTTAAAAGCACCATAAAAGTGCTGATTTTTTTTTTTCCAGTTTTCTTTTCTCATATACAATATAGTCAAAATTCTCTGCAATTCTGTAAGGATGAAATAACATATTTAAAAATTTCTGGTTTGATGAAATTGGCAAAAAAATACAGTGAATCTTTTAATTACATAAGAACATAAGAAAGGAGGAACACTGCAGGAGGCTTCTTGGCCCATACTAGGCAGGTCCTTTACAATTCATCCCACTAACAAAACATTTGCCCAACCCAATTTTCAATGACACCCAAGAAATAAGCTCTGATGTGAAAGTCCCACTCAAATCCAACCCCTCCTACTCATGTACTTATCTAACCTAAATTTGAAACTACCCAAAGTCCCAGCCTCAATAACCCAACTAGGTAGACTGTTCCACTCATCAACCACCCTATTTCCAAACCAATACTTTCCTATGTCCTTTCTAAATAAAAAACTTACAAATTTTAAACCCATTACTGGGGGTTCCTTTTGGGAGACATCCTCAAGCCTTTTTAATTCCCCTTTATTAATACCTATTTCCCTTATACACTTCGATCAGGTCTCCCTCATTCTTTTGTCTAACAAATGAATGAACTTAAGAGTCTTAATCTTTTTTCATAAGGGAAAATTTCTAAGCTATGTATTAATTTTTTTCACCACCTGAATGTTTTCAACGAATTTAGTCCATTCTGTAATTGGAGACCAGAACGACTGCATAATCTAGGTGAGGGCCCTTTCTAATATGTATAAAGCTGCAGTATGACCCTGGACTTTTGTTGCTTCCTTCTTGATATAAATCCCGTAAATTTTTTGCCTTTTTAGTAAGCTTAGGCATTGCTGTCTTGGTTTAAAATTTTCTGCTCACCAAACCCCCAAGTCCTTTTCGCAAACGTATGCTAAGTTCTACACATTTTAAATTATAAGTACTAGGTTATGGCACTCCCAAACTTTAGAACCTTGCATTTTTTCTAATTGAACTGCATCTGCCCCTTTTTTGACCAAGAAAAGGTTTGTTTTAAAACCTCCTGAAATCATAACATCTATTTGAAACAATTTTCCTACCTATCTTTTGTCTCGGGGAAATTTTCTATATCACTAGTAAATTCCCTCATCAAATCATTGATAATATTATAACAAAACGGGCCCAAGACTGATCCCTGTGGAACGCCACTTGTCACAGATCCCCGCTAGGATTTAACCCCAATTATGGACACACACTGCTTCCTGTCAGTGAGCCATGACTCGATCCACGAGAGCACTTTTCCCCCAATGCCATGAGCTACCACTTTCTTTAACAGTCTATGGTGCGGAACTCTATCAAAAGCCTTACTAAAATCTAAGTAAATAATATCAAATTCTTTATCGTGGTCAACAGCCTCAAAAGCTTTACTGAAGAAAGTTAATAAATTAGTTAGACAAGACCGGCCTCTTGTGAATCCATGCTGAGTATCATTAATCAAGCTATGCTTATCGAGATGGCTTCTTATAATCTGAGCTATAATTGACTCTAGTAATTTGCCTACAATTAAGGTCAGGCTTATTGGGCGGTAATTTGATGGTAACGACTTGTCCCCTGTTTTAAAAATAGGAATTGCATTAGCCATCTTCCACATATCAGACACTACACCTGTTTGAAGAGATAAATTAAAAATATTAGTTAATGGTTCACAGAGTTCCATTTTGCATTCCTTAAGAACCCTTGAAAAAACCTCATCAGGACCCGGCGACTTACTTTGCTTCAGTCTGTCTATCTGCTTCACAACCATTTCACTAGTGACTGTGATGTTACATAATTTATCTTCTTCTAGCCCACTATAAAAATTAATTACTGGAATATTGTTAGTGTCTTCCTGTGTAAAAACTGAGAGAAAATAATTTTTAAAAAAACGAGCACTTTTCTTTCTCTTTGTCTTTAAAGGGTGCCAAGTTATTTTTAAAGGACTATTTTATCTCTAACTTTTGTTCTAAAACCGGGAAAAAAAATTTTTTTGGGTTAGTTTTGAATCCCTACAACTTTAATTTCTAGTCCCTTTAGCTTTCATCCCTTTTTAATGTCCCCTTAATATCAATATACTGTTTCATAGATACCCTCACCTCTTTTGTACCCTAAAAATTCCTTTCTTATCCCCTATAATATTTGAGCTTTTATTCATCCTTTTTTGGGTCATTTCTTTTTGATCTAATTTTTTTTATAGGGGATAAACGTTCTTTGACAGATGTAAATGTTCAGAAAACGTCATATTGATAGCTCACTTCGTTACCCCTCAACAGATGATAAGTGTTCTCTAAGCCCATGTAATCTGCTAAGAAAAAATCGGGGACGTTACGGTTATCGCTACTATCGTACTTCCATTAAATGCTAAATGTAATTGATTTGTGGTCGCTACACCCAGTTCCTCTGAAATTTCTAAATATTAACAAGGGATTCATTGTTTGCCATAAATAAATCAAGCAGGGTTATTTCCCCCTTTTAGGTTCTTCACAAACTGCTTCAAAAAACAAACCTGAACTACTTCTAAGAACGTAGATTCTAAATTCCCCCTAAGAAATTCCAATCAATAGACTAAATTAAATTTTTCCCAAATTCTACATTATCGTGCCTTGTGGCCTTAACAATTTCCTTCCCCATATAGTCTCCCTTTGGGCCCTATTAATTTGGGGGACGGGAAAATCACTCCCAAAATCAGTTTTTCATGCCCCCTGAAAATTCTACCAAACAACTCTGTATGTGTTACTTTTAGACTTAATACCCTTTTTTGCAACAGTTCAAGCGATCTCGGGCATACAATCACCCCACCCCCCTTCCCGATACTTTATCTATTGGAACAATTTAAAACCCGAATATGACATTTCCCCAGGCATGTCCCACTTTTGAATTAAACCATCTCAGTTAAGGGAAAACATCAATGTTTCCTGCCTAGCAATAATTCAAATCATCCATCTTATTCCCCAGCACTACGGGGAAATTTGCAAAAAAACATTGAAAAACTCTCCTTTTCTTTACCCCTTTCCCGCTCATTTTTTGTTTTTTTTTAAACCATTACTGCCCTTATCACCCAAAGTTCTGGCTTTTCAAAATCACCTCGTTCTGTTTATTACTGTTCCCCATGGGATTTCACTGTTTTTCCAAAAACCCATCCCACTAACATTCCTTTTTTAAAGCCCTAACTGCCCCCCTCCACTGCAGTTCCCAGTGCTACCACCCAGACCTAATAAGTAACCCCACCCGGGCATCCATGCATTTCTGCCATAGAAAGGTCCCAGTTGTCAAAGAATGTTACTGATTTTCCTTTACAGTATTTGTCCAGCCAGAAATTTGACACAATTGCCCGAAACCATTCTTTTTCCAACCCCTCTCCTTGGAAAAATACCCAAAATATGAAGGGTTTTCCCCCCCTTACTCCTAATTATTTCTATTGCGACCATACCTGCAATCGGGTTTTCACTCCTACTCTCCAACACGTTGCCCCAGCACGAGACGATAATAGGATTGCCCCTTACCCCTCATGATGTATCCAGACGGCTAACAATATCCTCCATCCCCCCCCAGGAAAGCAAACTCGTCTCCCCACTCCCGTCCTTTAAGCAGAATGCCCTATCCATATACCCTAACTTGGTATCCCCAACAAAAACAAATTCCTTTCCCTTTTTGGTGTGTTCGTCGTGATGTTTTCCCGTAGTCGACTCACATTCGCGGGTAAAAACTGAGAATGTATTAAATGTTTTTCCACAACAGTTTCCATGGCAGTCTCTTCTTCTTCATCTTTCATCTTTCCATTTTTCTTTGTGATCGTAACTTCGTTCCCTGCTGTCCGCCATGACCATTTCCCTTTTTGACCTGAGGACTCAAAAAAGGGGGACTACTACAATCTTTTTGTTTTTCTCGGTCAGTCCCCAATCTCCAACTTTGCCATCCTCAATTTTCCTTAAGCTGTTGGTAAAGTTTTCTCGTGGGGGGCATCTTGCTTCAATTCTAAAGATGCGCAAAAAAAGGTCTTCACAGACTAAGTACCCAAAAAAAAAAAAAAGGGAAAAAATATGTACCTATTTCTGATTTCCCTTTCATGGTGGTTTGGGGATACTAAAACAGAAAATTGTAACATTAAAACAGGACAGTGAGGCTGTGAGAAAGGGAAAGTGAGAATGGGTGGGTAAGAGAGAAAGGGTGGGTGAGAGAGAGAGAGGGTGGATGGGTGGGTGAGAGAGGGTGGAAGGGTGGGTGAGAGATGGTGAGTGATTGGGTGGGTGGTAGTGTGAGAGTGAGTGGGTGGGTGGTAGTGTGAGAGTGAGTGGGTGGGTGGTAGTGTGAGAGTGAGTGGGTGGGTGGTAGTGAGAAAGTGAATGGGTGTGAAAGAGGATAGGAATGAGAAAGGGATGTGTGAAGGAGGGGTGTGTGAAAGAGGGGTGTGTGTGAAGGAGGGGTGTGTGTGAAGGAGGTGTGTGTTTGAAGGAGGGGTGTGTTTGAAGGAGGGGTGTGTGTGAAGGAGGGGTGTGTGTGAAGGAGGGGTGTGTGTGAAGTAGGGGTGTGTGTGAAGGAGGGGTGTGTGTGAAGGAGGGGTGTGTGTGTGAAGGAGGGGTGTGTGTGAAGGAGGGGTGTGTGTGTGAAGGAGGGGTGTGTGTGAAGGAGGGGTGTGTGTGAAGGAGGGGTGTGTGTGAAGGAGGGATGTGTGTGAAGGAGGGGTGTGCATGAAGGAGGGGGTGTGCATGAAGGAGGGGGTGTGTGTGAAGGAAGGGGGTGTATGAAGAAGGGGGTGTGTCTGAAGGAAGGGGGTGTGTGAAGGAGGGGTGTGTGAAGGAGGGGTGTGTATGAAGGAGGAGGTGTGTGTGAAGGAAGGGGGTGTGTGAAGGAGGGGGTGTGAAGGATGGGGGTGTGAAGGAGGAGTGTGTGTGTGTTGGGAGGTTCTATGAGAGGGTGGCTTTCAGAAAGTACGAATGGGTGTGAGAGAGTGAGGAGTGGGTGGCTATGAAAAGGCTGCAA